GAAAGAGAAAGAGAAAGAGAAAGAGAAAGAGAAAGAGAAAGAGAAAGCGAAAGCGAAAGAGAAAGAGAGAGAGAAAGCGAAAGAGAAAGAGAAAGAGAAAGAGAAAGAAAGACCAAGGTAGAGGTAATTATAAAGAAAAGTAAAAGTAAAGTAAAGAGACACAGAGACTCACCTCACTATTTCGGGATTTTAGAGATTTTTAGGATTTTCGGGACTCTTTCGAGATTTTTGAGACTATTTCGGAATTTTCGTTATATTTGTCGATCTTGTTGTCGATATATTTATCTATATCCTGTTATCGATATTGAAATCAATATATTTATCTATATCATAGCCGATGCTGTTACCGATCGGTATATTTATCGATACTGTTATCGATAAAATAATCGGCACATTATATGACATCACGTCAAGGCACCTCACCTCATCTTGGTAAATATGTAGATGAGGAAAAGGATAAAAGCGAAATTGTGAAAGATAAAAACAAAGATGAAGACCAAGGGAAATTTAAACGCTTTACCTTTATACGGACAAAGGGAATAGTGAATATGTATATGAATGGTAAAATTAAGATAAGTCTAAGTTCGGGCGGAGCCCAACATTAAATACCCGACGCAAGTATTAAATATATACTTTTTACCTTTCCGAAAGCTAGCGCTACATGGTTAAGCCGGGATGTATCAATTTTGAGTAAATTAGCGTCCTTAAATTTCGACATATCGAAGTTTCAAGCATTTCTGCAATTTTACGTTATATGAAAAGCGGCCTCAACTTTAGTCCGATTTCAATAAGTATAACGGTTAGCGAGATACACATATGTGATCATAAGTGGGCGGGGCCACGCCCATTTTCAAAGATTTTATCATAAACGTATATCTTGGTAAAGAGTTTTTGGAAGCATCAACTTTTACTAAATTAGCTTTAATATTTACTGATTTATCGAAGATTTCGTATTTCTCTAAATTACCGTTATATGGGATGTGGGCGTGGTTATTGTCCGATTTTAAAAATTTTCGGCCATTTGGTATGCTGTACCAAGGCCAACAACTGTGCCAAGTTTGGAAGAAATTGGTTACCAAGATATACACATGTTACCATAACTTGGCGTGGCTACGCCAATCTTCCAACAATTTATAATACTCTTATTTTTTGTCTTAAAATTATTGTAAATATTAATTTTGAGTGAATAATCTTCAGTAGTTACTAAAATATCACAGTTTTTGTATTTATGAAAATTACCGTTATATGAGAGGTGGACGTCATTATTTTACGATTTTGCCCATTTTCAATATCATCCGTCCTACGCCCGAAAAAAGTGCACGTACCAAGTTTCGTTAAGATATCTCAATTTTTTCTCGAGTTATCGTGTGCACAGACGGACGGACGCACGGTCGGACGGACAGACAGTCACCGCTTAATCGATTTCTCTTTTCATTCTGATCATTTATGTATACATTTGTCTGTATCTGTCTCAATTCGTTTTGCCTGTTACAAACAACCGTTATGCGAACAAAGTTATAATACCCTTGGGCACAAGTGCGCTCGAGTATAAAAAAGATCAGGATAAAGTCCCTTTCATTCTCAATTTCAAACCAATGAGACAACTAATAGATACGTGTCGTAAGTTTACCTTCTCCAGTGTGGCCCAGGCGCGCTTACTTTTTATTGATTATTTTTGTCTTGTTTAATTTTTAGAAACTTATTTGGTTTAATTTTTCGCTTTTTTACTTATTTTTCTTTTAATTATAAGATCTAATTATTTTAAGAAGGAAACTATTTTTTAAAATTATGTAAAGAAATTCTGGCATCTGTCTTTCAACTCTTCACAGTCTTTCGGAAGACAAAACTATTTCGTGTGACAATTGTCTATTCCGGCAACTATCCTGAAAGTTCTTTTCTGTATTCCGAAATATTTGTTGATAGGTCTCCTAACGAGTAGGTCTTAGCGTTACTATGTTTATCTTTTAGCAATGACTTTTCTAAAAACCAAACGAATTTAAAAAATATTATTTTTAAAATGATGAAAACTAAATATTTGAGCCTGCCTAAAATGAAGCAATGAATCTAATTAACGTATAGAATTACCAATGACAACCACCCGGTCAAATTGAAATAGCGGCGAATCAGCAACACTTGAAAGTAGTAAGTTGAATAAGGAAATGGATTAGCTACAAGAGTTTACGGGGTGTGCATAGCTCAGTGGTTAGCGTTGCTGGCTTTGCACATGGATGATGCTGGTTTGATTCCTGCTGAAGTCTAGAAAAAGGAGTCTGTTGAGGAGATGTGGTGATCTCCGAAATAGCAGCTATGTATAACTTCCACCGCTTAGACTTTGTTGCTCTTTCCATTTTTCCTAACAAACAAATCGTGGTACAAAGCTCAATAACATTTCTAAAAAGAATGCACGGTTAAAGCAGTCTAATTGCAGGAGTTTTAAAGTAAACCTAAAATCTGAGCAAACCGTTGTAGGGAACTTACAGGTTAAGTGACCCAATCTTTGGCATTTTCACAGTAAACCCTCTGTTGATAATTTGTAGAAAGAGCGCAAAATGTCATGATTGATTCCATCTGCATAAATGGAGGAATCACACATACGACAGAAACTCATATCTCAACAATGAGTTCCATGGGAGCTTTTAAATGTTTTAGTGGTCTGATT